AGTATCCCAGTAATCCGGTATCATAATCCCGTTCATCCATTGCCCGGAAGAAGTTCCTTCCCGGGTCGCAAAAGGCGACAACGGGGTCGTGAGCCGGGGAAGATTCAGCCTAAAGGATCATAACATACGTCTCGAAAGCACCCACGATGGGGTTGCCCTGTTTTTGTTTTGAGCGACTCTTAACTATGGAAGGTTCGGAACAAAAGAGATGACCTCTCTTCTTTTTTGATTTTAGAAACAAATCTCTTAAGCCTGTGGCTCAGAATAGTTAGGCCAAACAGCGCAACCTAACACAAGCTTCCTTCGTCAAGTGACTAGGCTGACGATAATCCATCTCGAGAGCAAATGGGCAGAAGTTAGCTTTATGTCGAAAAATACACGAATACGCACTAGAGAACAACAAGGTGACTGGGGTGATACGAGAAACCCGACAGACGTCCTAGCACTGGTATCTATTTCCACAGCAAAGAGTGACATTCCCTGGTGGGCTGCCGCTCAAGACTACGAACGGCGCCGCTGCATCTACCGCCGATGTGGTAATATATTCCAGGTGACAACATAGCGCAATTAGTCTGGACCTGGACGCCAATCATGACGAAGGCGGTTAAGAAGAGTGTTCACAGAGGGCGCATGGTGTCGACAAATTACTGGCGGAGGTTTGTGAAGGTGATTTATGGATGTGATTAATAGTTCCGGCTAGACCGGTACGTTGTGATAGGTCCGGCGCAAGTCAGTCGCTGTTTGCTATCTATCCAGGGAATGTGAATGAGTCAAAGGTACGTTTTATTTCGATGCTGCTCGTTTCGTCTACGGGCAATCCTATCAAGCTGGTGATAGAAATGCTAGTAAAACAAGACTGGTGTCACGAAGTCTTGCTTGCTAAAACCAAAACCCCACAATCTCTACACATGAGTAAACATCAATAAATTTACACGATGAATAGGTCCTTTAGGGCTAGGGCTAGGGCTAGGGCTAGGGCTAGGGCTAGGGCTAGGGCTAGGGCTAGGGTTAGGGCTAGGGTTAGGGCTAGGGCTAGGGTTAGGGTTAGGGTTAGGGTTAGGGTTAGGGTTAGGGTTAGGGTTAGGGTTAGGGTTAGGGTTAGGGTTAGGGTTAGGGTTAGGGTTAGGGTTAGGGTTAGGGTTAGGGTTAGGGTTAGGGTTAGG